TAATCAAGATTAGTATTCATATAATTTGATGCAAGAACTTGGTGAACTTTGAAAACTTATGCAGAAAATTGATTTTAAGAGTATCAAAGACTTTGAACTTTGTTTGCGACCACGTCTGCCTTGACTTTCTATCCAAATTTGATTGTCTGATGAACTCAGTTTATACATGCTATGGTGGGTGCTATGCACCAAATTTTTTTTTAAAAGCTACCGTGAATGGCCTTATGAATGAACTGGTTAGAGCTCTTAAGTAGCTGACACCAGAAGTGATATTGGTCAGTGTCAGTGTGAATTTATGTGGCAATGCCAGTATACAGATTCTAGTTCAGATAATTTTAGAAAGTTTTTGGATGCTGTTAAGGAATTTTGTTTGACTGAAGACATGTTAATTCATAAATAAGGTAAGTATTTCCTTTGTGTAGTGCAAAGATGAATTTCCGGCTGATCTTTGGAATATGGTAACTGGTAGTTTGGTGACATTTTGGAGGCGATAAAGGTTACTACCTAGGACTTTGGTTATAAGCTGAAAAGTACTCAATTCCGATTACGCATTATTTTGTGTGAGGGAAATGAGAGATCATGAGATATGTCATGTGACATTAATGGACGAATTACAGTTCTTTACTCTGAAAAGGGGGGGGGGAAATCGGGAAAAAATCTGGAAATTTTGTATTTAGCTTTATTCTGTGTTGTGTGAAACAGTTTTGGTTAATTTTTGGATCCCATGGCCCTAACTAAAGTGAATTTGAAATGGGTATTTAGTGGGATTGAAAGGGGGAGTAATAAGTGTTTTTTTAAGGTTGTGCGAGATAGAAGTAAAGATGTTTTTATTAAGTTACTTGTAGATAAGTTTTAAAGATCCTGAAACGGTCATAACTTGTTTTTTTAAGGTTGTGCGAGAAGAAGTAAAGATGTTTTATTAAGTTATTTACCTGGTACCTTGCTGTGAACTTAAGTACGATTTTAAAGATCCTGAAAACGGCGCACATTACGCTTGCTTTTTATTTAGCGGAGGAAATAAGAAAAGTTTATCGGCCACATAATCAAGATTCTGAAGATTACGTAAGTTAATATTTTTAATTATTTGAGGATATTATTTTATGCATTGTTCTAAATGTAAGGAGTAAATAAAATAATATGGTATTATTGGAAAATTGTTATTAGCAATGATTTTTATATTTTAAGTAGTGTTTTTGAATTTAATTATATTTTAATTAAATGATAGTTATTTGTGAATTATATGTTTGTAGGAATTTATTATACGTTTCAGTGGAAGTAAACGTGCATGGAAATAATTTAAATATTTGACACTAAGTATATTTGTAACCATTTGTAATGTTTGAGGTATGAATTCGTTGGTGACGTTTATAATATAATAGATAATTTAGAGGTAAAAGTTTTTGGATATTTTATTTATATTATATGTGGAAATGTTCATCTTTGGAATTGGGTATATACTTTTTCGCAATCAGGTAATTTCATATATGTGCTTTTTACCGAGTAAAGATTCACAGAATTTTTTTGCATTTTCGTGCAAATTTTTGTAATTTATGAGAAAATAGCAGTGTATTTGGATAAAGTTAAGAGCAATGCCATTTTTGTGCAATTCTGGGATGTTTTTTTAAGTAAAAATAAGTCGACGTGTAAATGGTTTATGTGTATGTGGTATTCTGAAAAACACGCAAGGAGTTTGCGATTGTGCACTTTTTCCCAATTTTGCAGTTAATATTTGTCATGATTAAGCAGTTTTGTTACATAAAATTTCTAGCATAAGTATAATTCGGCTAGTAGATTGTTGGAAAAAGTGTTCAGTAAATAAAAAGAAAAGAAACATGTCTTTACTTCGTGAAGACAAAATGGCGACGAAAAAAAATAGAGAGTTGCTGTAGCAGAGTTGGTCGCCAAATTTTCGCCAAAAAATCAACCAAGTTACCATAATCCAAAGATCAACCGAATTTCCTTCTTTACGTTATTTCGTCATCTAGCTTAAAATGTAGTTTATTGAGATAATATATTTTTTGTTCGGCTCTATTGTAGAATTGGCTGCTTTTTTTACTTTTTAAGTAAAAATGGCTCAACGTATACATGGATAAAGTCAAGGGAATGCGCAATGCTGAGTTTGTGCAATTCTCAGATTTTTTTTTTTTTTTTTTAAGTGAAAATAAGTTGATGTGTACATGGATACAAAGTTTGTGCAATTCTTTGACTTGCTATTTTGGCTTTGTTATTTCTGCTACACAAAGCCAAAATAACAACTCAAAGAATTGCATAAACTTGGTGTCCATGTATCGCCAAATTTCGCACAGGGGCATCCGTAAATATATTTTTACCAAGGAAATAACATGTGGGGGCGATGGTTTATGGTATAGAATAATTTTGAACAAAAACAAAATAAGAACAAAAACTTTGCAAAGCCTTCCAAAAGATCTGGACAACAAATTGACAAGTTTCTAGAAGTATGTTATTGACGTAAAATGGCAAAAAAATTTATTTACAGTTACATATTGGAAATTTGGAACTTTATTAATGTTTAATATGATAGGAAATAAAACAATCAGTGTGAAAGGGACAAAAACAGTTTCCATAAAAACAACAGGTCCGAAAAATCTCACCTCGCCATAATGCTTTATTGCTTAGTGAATGGAACAAAGTTAAAACCCACAGTTATTTAAAAAAAAAAAAAAAAAAAAAAGATGATGATAATAAAATGTAATTTCCCAAATGACGTTTTCATTCATGTTCACGAGAAAAAAAGATGTGCAATTCTGGATAAGAAATCTTTGGTGAAACAGCTCCATTGCCTTAAAGAATTCAGAAAGTCGTTTAGTTTGGGATATGTTCAGATCCCATCTAACTCATAATATGAAGGATTTGTTGAAAGAGCATAATACAGATATGGCAGTTATTCCAGGCAAATTAATACCATTAGCTCAGCATTTAGATGCATATATCAATAAAGAATTCAAAAAAAATTTAAAACAACAGTGGAATACACGGATGTTAGGTGAAAAACATTCACAAAATGGGGCAAAATACATCCTGCTAGTCTAGAAATAATGCGTAAGTGGATCATATAAACATGGAATGAAATTAAACACCATACAAAGTCATTTAAAAAGCATAATATGTCTACCAATCTAGTGGAACAGACTATGATTATTTATTTATGGATTGGAATATTAGCAATGGTGAAGATGTAACAGAATTCGACAATGTTTCCGAAGAGATAACAGAAGTCGAACTTTTCATTTCTCCGATAATGAAAACCTTTTTTTGAAGTTCATAGTGTATGTCATTTCTTTTAAATAAACAGCACTTACAAACATGTAGAAATCTAATGCTGTCCAACCAGGATTAGCGGTTAGTGACACTGACTGCCGTACTGAAAAGCCCGGATTCATAGTCATAAAGGCCTTTTCTGAATATATCATATCCAGAAAAGGGTAAAAGCATAGTTTAGGGTACCCCTTAGCAAAACTTGGCAGCACATGGATACCGATTTTGTGCAATTCTTTGACTCTTTATTTTGGCTAGCGAAGCGGCGAGTTTTGCGCCAAAAATCACCCATACACAAAGCCAAAATAACAAGACAAACAATTGCACAAACTCGGTATCCATGTACACATCGACTTATTTTCACTTAAAAAAAAAAAAAACGAATTGCACAAAAATTGCATTGTGTACTCCTTTGACTTTATCCATGTACACGTCGACCTGTTTTCACTTGAAAAAAATCCCCAAATTGCAAAAAAATGGCATTCCACACTCTTTTAACTTTATCCATGTACATGTCAACCTATTTTCCCTTAAAAAAAATTACAGAATTGAACAAACTTGCATTGCACACTCCCTTTACTTTGTCCATGTGCACATCGATATATTTTCACTTAAAAAGTCAAAGGAGCACCAAATTCTACAGTAAAGGCAAACAAAAAATACATAATCTCAATAAAATACATTTTAAACCAAACAATAAAATAACATAAAAAGGAGAAACATGTTATACATTTAAGCACTACCAAAATCAAATATTCACTTACCATGATTTTCAAATTCGCTTCGTACACCCAGAGCCACGTAAAAATCCAAATATCAATCATATTCAAATTACTTTTTTCAAACCAGGTACTCTTTCTGGTCGAACGCTTCACATAGTTACCATCTGAACCTTTCTTCCTACAACCCATTCAAATCCATCTAAACGGTTTTAACAAACACCACAAAAACGCTTACATCCCATGACTCAAAATTTCCCAGAATCATGCACCCGATTACGTCAGGGTTTCCATAACACTCAACTACTCAGGCTACCATAAATGAAACAACAACTTGGCGATAAATCAAACAACTTCGCCATAATACAAGGGGTACCTTAAAGTCTACTCTACCCCCAGAAAAGGCATGGATGTTTGTAATGTATACAAGTATGTATATTTGATAGTTATTTACAAGATAATCAAAGCAAAAATAAAGATTATAATGAACTAATGAAACATTTAACAACTTCCACAGTGAAGTATTCATATGAAATTCATAGAAACTTGAAAGTACTGTTTATTCTAATAACAGCATTTAATTTTAAATGGCAGAGGGCTCAGATAAGGTTTGATGATATAAAGAGTATACAGATTTTTTTAACAGTAAGTTATACAAAACCATAAAAACAATCCCAATGAAAAATTGGAATCCTGTACACAATTAACAATAAAAAAAAAAAATCTAGCTCATTTCTCGAATACCGATACGAAGCAATATATTATTTAAATACTATATGAAACACCACAACTAAAACACTATACAACTATATATATATCCTGCATGTAACGTAAATAACATGAGCATTTGCATAATTGGTAAATCTAATGAAACATACATATATCTACAAAAGTAAATTTGATCTAATATTTCTTGATAAAGTCACAAATTCACATACTGCTATAAACGGAATTGAAAATCTAACAAAGTTAAAAATCTTAACGATGTTCAAAAAAAGTACTTACGATTTAACAACTTTCAAAAAAGTTTCGAAAAATTATATTTTACGGGAGGGGATTATTAATTATATATTTTAAAATACTTCCAAGTTTTAAAAACAAGTAGGTACACGGACCTACTATACTACATGCGTATATTTATAAATACTATTCCAAGCATAAAACACAGTCCCTCGTGCCGCCTAACAGAGCGATTTTGTATGTGAGTTGCTTTGAGTTACTAAGCCAATCACAGTAGTCAAAGCAGATGACGTGCTTTGTATCCAATAGAAAACTTCTATGGGCCTCACAAAATCGTGCTGAGTAAGGCTACTATAAAGGGGAACTGAATCATCACCCATTTTGAAGATTAAGAATACTATCAAGCTCAGAAACGCAGCCATTAAGACCTGGCATCAGTCTAGAAACCCAAATGATAAACGGCACCTCAATTACCTAAACCGAAAAATCAAGACTGAAATTCAAGAATACAGGAATCAACAATGGGACCACCTAAAATTTGGAGCCGAACCATGAAAATGTTTGGAGAATCGCGCGCTCCCTCAAAAATAATAACAGTTATACCCAGCACGCAATTGAACACTCTGGTACTAAATATTATTCGGACCAAGACATTGCTGACCTCATGGCAGAAGTACAAGAAAATATCTATAAACCCCTCCCGTCTAATAACTCGGAAACTGAAAACGAAGCTCAAGAAGCAGTCAACTACATACGCAATTTTACGCCTCAAAGGCACATACAGTTTACTTCTCCTAAAGAGGTGAAAAACATTATTAAAAACCTTAAGACAAGAAAAGCGAAAGGTTACGACCATCTTAACAATAAAGCACTTAAAGCCCTGCCAAATAGATGCATTATCAATCTCTGCAATATTATCAATGGTTGTATTAGACAGTCATACTTCCCCCAACAATGGAAGCACTCTATCGTAATTTTTATTCCCAAACCGGGAAAAAACCCAAAAGATGTCAATAGCTATCGACCTATCAGTCTTTTGCCGGCTATGGGCAAAATTTATGAGAAAATCCTTAACAATAGACTCACAAACTTCCTAGAAAATAATGACATTATTGATAACTTACAATTTGGATTTAGAAAAGGTCACTCGACCACTCATCAAGTCTTAAATCTTGTGGAAACAATAGCTCTTGCGTTTCAGAAAAAAAGTGCAGTTGCCGCATGCTACCTCGATTTTGAGAAAGCTTTTGATCGAGTGTGGCATGCTGGGCTAATTCTAAAACTCATAGATCTCGAAATTCCTAAAAAATTTAATTAAAATTATCTTCTCTTTTCTATGTAACAGAACTTTCCAAGTCAGAATAGGTAATACCTTCTCCAAAAAGAAAAGGATGTTTTGTGGCGTCGCTCAAGGCAGTGTTTTGAGCCCAAAACTTTTTAATATTTATATTAACGATCTACCTCAACCTCTTAACTCCAAAGTACTCAAATATGCAGATGATGCTGTTGTACTCTCTGAATCTATTCAACCTCAACTGGCCATTAACAACCTCCAAATGTATGTTAACAATATTGCACACTGGTGCACAATTTGGAAAATAAATCTCAACGCTCACAAATGCAATACTGTTCTCTATAGACGTTATAAAAAACTTCAGAATGTCAACACTGAAATTAAAATCAATAGCACTCTTATCCCACATAATGATGCTTACAAATATCTGGGTGTTTATATCGATAAACAGCTGAACTTCAAAACCCACCTTCAATACATTGCCAATAAAGGGAATTCTGCTTATATGGCTATCTATCCACTTATTGGACGTAACTCCAAACTTAACTTACATACAAAAAAGATTCTCTATACTTCTCTCATTAGACCGATCCTTACATATGCCGCCCCTGCTTGGGCTATCGGCAATAAAAATGAAAGGAAGAAGATTGGTATTTTACAAAATAAAATATTAAGATCAATCACAAACGCTCCCTGGTTTATCAGGAATAAAGATATCCAGAAAGACCTCAAAATTCCTGATCTTATGGATCACATCCTCACCATATCTCACAATTTCTTTGAGAAAGCTAGGAATAGCGAGTACCAAGCAATCAAAAACATCATTGATTATGATCCAACTATTGAACATACGGTAAAAAGGCCGCGGACAATACATCACAATCCTAGATGGTGATTGTAAATATGTAAATAGTGTATATATCTTTTCCATTTACCCAAGATCTCATTTATTCAAGCTTATTTCTATTATTTTTAATTTCCATTCAATTGAATCAATCATGTGACCGCTCTGGTCAAATAGAACTTTGCGAACTAAGTTCTTCTCTGATTGGCTGACCCACATCACGTGGGTTTCACTTGTTGCTTAGAATTCTAAGTGCTCCTCTCTCATTCAGGGAGTGGATGCCGAGGTTGAAGGATTGCTTTCCGATCTGACCGCCATGCCGCCTGACTGCACGTGAACTGAGACCACTGCCGTAATAATTGCTAATGCCAATTGCTTATCACATGTACAGCTAAATCGCAGGATATCCTATAAATTTTTCGCCTGGGGGGAACTCTCAAAACCTATGAAACTCTTTCCAAAATTGTAAAGCAATAATAGATCCCTTTAAGCTAACTTGTTGGTATTCGCTATTGGATTAGCACTGATTTCTTGACATATTTGTGGATCGATTCCGACCTAATTTTCAGAAAAATGGGTGGTTGTGCTGCACCAAATTGTTCGAATCAGTCTAAAAATAACTTTAGGATGTTTCGTTTCCCTAGAAATGAAGAAAGACGAAGAAAATGGATAGTTAATTCTCGTCGAGATCAATGGATCCCGGGCCCAGGAGCGTATCTTTGTGAGGTAAGTTCAGCTTCGTATTTTTCCATAGAATGTTAGAAAAATTACTCTTCTTGGTACTTTAAAATATTTATTTTCATTTAACTGTCACTTATTGACGATCAACTGATTTTATAAGTACAAAATCAACTGCGGAATGTGTATGTGTTTGTGCAGTAAAATATCGTTGTTTCATGTTGTTTCTTTTGTTATCGTGAAAAGTTTATACCGTTTGTAAAATTTGTATCATACATTTCATGTAAACTTTGTGCTCAGTTAGAAATGTGATGTGCCTTTTTCTTTTCTTTAATTTTACTGTACGATTGGTGATTTAAAGTAGCATTCTATGTTTTGATTCTGATGTATTGTCGCCAAATCGGATAGTTGGCGCCAATGTTAAAAACTGGATGGTATGATCCAAATAATAAATGATTTTGTTTTTTCTTTATAGTAAGATAAATATATTCTGTATTTTTAGACATTTTTAAGAAGTTAAATATTAATTTAAATATTCGATGAATCGTTTTGATCCCATTATTATCCTTTATTGTAGTAGTAAATCTTAATGTTGTATTTTTAACTATAGGTACTTTAAATTTATTTTTAGTGTGTGAGCAGGAAATATGTTTTAAGTAGTTTTACAAACATGATTACTTTTTAAAAATTTTGTTCTATTTTCATAAAAAAAATTTAAATTTATCAGAAAATTACATTCTTAAATTATATAATATATGTAACTGTAATTTAATACTAGTGCTTTTGATTTTAATGTTAAATTTCATGCATGCTTTTGTTAAATATGCAGGTACATTTTGAAGAAAATCAATTTGAATGCTCTAGGCAAGATGGGCGTAAAAAACTCAAGCCCAATGCTGTGCCAACTCTTTTCAATGTGCCTAATCCCCCACAACTGTTGACCCCACCCCACAGCGTCTAAAAGGCATTGGTTTACCAAAGCACCGTTCAGTTACATCCAATTTTTGTAATGTATGTGTTTTTTATTTTTATGGTTTTTCATAAAAAAATATGTTTTTATTACAAATGGACTAAATTGCTTTATAAAAGAATCAAAATATTGAAATTAAGGCATTATGTGATAAAGCTGTAATTACAGTCCCTAAGATTAGATTAAAAAATTAAAATTTTGCTGTTGTTATATATATAATTAAGTATGTACTTTGTTATTATAATCATATATTGAAAATTAAGCATAAAACCTCAATTTGATGTAGTTTTTGGATAAAGTTTTTGTAGTTTTTCGAGGACGGTCATACATGGGTCTGGTTTCTTCAAATTTGCTCCTAAAAGAAAGAAACCGGTATCTGATTGCCTTCAAAGTCAAAGTCAAAAGAGTTTAAATCAAAATTTGTATTAAACTAAAGTTGCTTTTTTGCTTAATTTTAAATTCCAGATAAATAGAGAGAAATATGTATGGAGTAAGTAAAAGAAATAATATTGAAATTAATAACTTTAATCTTGAGTAATACAATAATATAGTTATAATACATTGATTTAAATGTATATTTTAATGTCTTATATGTCTTGTCTGAATGTTGTTATTTTTTGTTTAAAGATTTACAAAACTTATTAGGATTATTTATATTATTTATTATTAAAATTACATTAAGTATATTTTATTTATCAGCATTTTCAGGTATCCTTACTTATATGTGTTTCATAATTTTTGCATCTTCAGGGTGGCTTGCTGCACAGTTTACCTTTATCAACTGAAGCGATTTCTGTTGCTGAACCATCTGTTGTAAGTCTTCATTTGAACAGTTATTAAATATTTAGTATTATAAACTTTTTCTAAAAAGTATTAACACTGTTTCTAAAATTTAAAAATATATTAACGTAATATTTACTTATGTTTAAGAAGTATGAATGCTATGAACAGTCCAATGTATTTATGCTTTTTTATAAGTTGAGTTACTTTTGAAAATGGTAATGATTATTTGTATTTATTTTTATCCGATCAGAGTTTATAATTTCTTTCACTTCCACATATTTCATATATTATAATTTCTTTTAGGTTCATTTGCCACAACCTTCAGCTTCATATTTTGGAGAAATAAATTTTGCTGCCGAAGTATCTGATGTAAATTGCCATTTTGCACTTCTAAAAAATTTTAATAGTTTTTTAACATCTATTCGTAAACTGTACTATGTTTTTTTTAAATGTTTCCATCTTCATAATCATGCACTTTATTTCATTTCACCAGTGGTTGCAAATGTGTACATTACAGTACATCTCAGGTGTGTTTGCAACAACATTTAGCATTACCTTCTGATTAAATAACAGCTGCTAGTAAAGAATCTATTCTATGTTTTCATTTGAGCAGCTATTAAATGTCATATGTTTTACATATATTAATGAATTTTTATACGATTTCTGA